AACAAGACACCTTAAGTTTGAGTGAGGATGAGCAAAATATCGTGACCCCAAATCATCCCAAAGAAAACCAGACTATATTATCGGTAACCGACTCCTGAGGATGGCGCTAACGCCCACCAATCGAAAAACCCATTTACACGACTAATTACTTATTAAACCCTAATACACGTACTCTCTTAGTTAATCTTTGTAGATAACATTGTGCTCAATCAACTCCATTGTGCTCAATCAACTCCATTGTGCTTAATCAACTCCATTGTGATCAATCAACTCTAGATCCGTGCGGTTGGAGTATTCCCCACTCGTTGTCGTCCCGGGATATGGATTTCAATGAAAATTGTCGCTCAGGGCCATGATACCTGGCTTGGCATCGAAGATGCTCGACCTACCACCGACGATGAAATCGGACGACACCTCATCGTCCTCCGTGTACCCCAAGATACCTACCCTTCAGATCGACCTCCGAGACCTTCGTAATCACAGCCTGGATCTCCTCGTACGTCGCGCTCTTCGCCARCCTCTCCGTCAGATCGACCACCTAGACGATACCCGTCAGCTTGCCACTGGGCTCGGGAAGGAGAACCTTGCCGGCTTTTCGCAGCGCCAGTACCCCTCTGGCATGGGGAAAGGCAGACGCGGAGTAGTTGGGTTGCCTCAGGCAACTTCCAGGCAGGTTTTTTTTTTTTTTTTTTTTTTTTTTTTTCCTCGCTTTATGCTTGTCACCCTTGCGCGTACCATTCCAATTTAAACCGATGTTTCCCTTCCTGACAGTTTTTTTTTTTTTTTTAATTACACTACACCATGTTCTTCTCTCAAATTGTTTTTTTCAGGCGATACCTGGAGAGGAATTCTTCAGGCGATGCCTGAGGACTGGCAGTTGTTGCTAGGCCCTGAAGACCTGGATCCTCCTGGGACCTGGTATATGCCAGATCAGGCTCCCAGCCAGGAAAAGGTTTGAAAACTGTTGAATTTGACAGACTGTGGCTTCAAAGAAGTACAAGAGTGGCGCACAGTGGATCCCTCTGGCACCTTGCAGCTGGAGGGTAGTCGAGTAGTCTCCCAGTGGTACAATCCTCCTCAGATAAGAGTGATTGAGTACCTAGACAAGAGAGGTGAATTCAAATCTGCGAGGTGGGTGGGTAAAGCTCCTCTAAGCTCCCTACCCATTGACCCCAGGGCGTGGCGCTGGAGTCAGGGCAAGCCTAATCCAACTTTCCCTCTGGGGCTGGATCTAGTTGCATTTTCAGTCAAGGAGTCGTATAGGTTGACAGAGGAAAAGGCCAGATCACCGGCAAGTGTGGCCATTGCTAGGTGGAATGCGGTTCTCCTGACGGATCTTCAGGACTCTGTAGCACAGTTTGAGAAACTGTGGAATGTGCTGATAGAGATCCCAGATAGGAAACAAGCCAGCATCCTGTGGATGCTCTCATTACTGGTCACTCCCTCAGCGGTCTGGTTGAAAGGCCGAGGGATGGAGATTGCTTCGGGCAGCACTCGATGTACCTGGCCTTTTGAGTCGAGAAAGCACCTCTGGTGGGACTGCCCGACCTTATACTGGTATCACAATAAAACTAAAACTTACATCCTTTGTCCCCTTCTTCTTCCTATCCCTCATCTTGTCAATGATCGCCACCCCTCATGTGCGGCTGCTGCTGCTGTGGTCCTCCTCCTCTTCCTCCTACTCCGGTTGGTGCTGCTACCCCTTATGTTGTTGCTGCTCCTTTCCTCCCTCACAGCGGCAGCTATGGCTCCCCGTTGTTACGTCGCTGTTTTTCTCTTTTCCATCTAAGGTTATACTCTGGCAGGCAGAGCGCCAGAACGAGACTCGAAAGGAAAAGCAAGAGGGGGGAGAAAGAGGATAAAGACTGTCGACTCAGGCTTGGCGATGAGTATCGCTGAATCAGTGACGAAGAATCGAGGGATGAAGACGAGGGAGGGGCAGCGGAGGGGCTGCGCACAAGCTACTACGGCTTAGCGCCAAGCGATTAAAACGGGACAGGGGATCCCGACTCCGCCAGCGGAGGCGATCCACCACATGACGACTCCGGGAGAGAAAGCCATGGGTCTCATGAGGAGACCAACGCCTTGGCCATGGGCGGCCTGCAGACCCCCAGGGGAACAGAAGAAACGGGGCTGGGGATCCCGACTGCGCCAGTGGCGGTAAGAGGTCCTAGAGTGGAGTCGTGACAAAAGCTGGACGGATAGGAAGAGCTTGCGGAAGGCAGAGGCCAGAGAGGAAGCAACGGGCACACTTGCGCACCAACGACAGAGAAGAGCGAGAGGGAGAATAGAAACACTTGCGCACCAAACGAGGCGAGAGGTGAGAGAGTAACTCATTGCCACAACTAGCAACAATGGTATTGGCGTCGAGGGGCCAAGAAAGAGATAGAACCAGAGAAGGAACAAAGTGTTACGTCTTTCGACATACTCACCCAGTCTTCACTGGATGGGATTTCCACGAACGTTCCACGAACATTCCGAGATGAAGACATCCGACTTTCGTTTTTTTCCGCTGCTCTTGCGCATCGAGCGCACTTCTTCGCATAGACTTGCCACCTCTCTCCCGTCACAACCGCTCAGAGTCCTTGTACTTCTCGGCTGATCTGCTCAATGACATCCTGCCTGCTTATCCGAAGTTGTAGGTAGGTAGTTGTCGGCTCATCTCCTCATACTGGCTGCTTCTCCTCCCCTGTTGGTTCTCTCTCAGCAGAGGTTGCCTTTTCTAGCCGACATTGCTGCCCATGGCAATGCAATGTTGTTCCACTCGCATCCCTCAGACTAGCAGCCAACGATTTGGTAGTCATTCTCCGCTTATAGAGGGCAGGATAGGATCATGGTGGTGTGTCCATAGACATGAAGATGCGTTTGGTTCATTGTGGAGTCCATAGACATCAAATTCATTCACAAAAGGTCCCTGTCACAGTACCTCTTCAACAAAGGCACTGGTGAAAAACGATCCATCTTCATCCCCTCGACAACAGCTCCTCCGCTCGAACAAGAGCGCAACCTCCCTTCTTGCATCGCGGGCTCGAGCCCGCTCTATAAGGAAGTACCTACGTTGTTGACCGTCTATAAGGGAGACCAACGTATCTCTGTTGCTCCCAACTTCCATTTTGACAGCTTTAGTATCTTTGTTTGTGGCCCCTTTGGTCTTCCTTTCTAGACGGTCAGCGACTCAGCAATGTAGATTCCTTGTAAGTGTGGCCTTGCACGAGGGATCCGTACTCGTAACCGCTTTCCAAACAAAAGCTCTGTTTTTGTCACGATTTCTATCGTTTGGTTGTTTCCGAGTCAGTCTTTTGTCCCTCTTTCTTTTCCCTTTCTTCAGGAAGGCAAATCTTGTTCTCAACTTTCTAGCAAGTCACTTCAAAGCAACATCCCTTTCTTCAGGAAGGCCAATCTTATTCTCAACTTTCAAGCAGGTGACATCAAAGCAACATCAAAACAATTAATCCGTCCAAATCTGCAGGGTCTCAAGACTCTCAACATCACAATGAATTACTCCTTCCGTTCCAAAATAATTGTAGTCTCTCTCTCGGAAGCGGCATTCAATTCTGAGAATATGGGTCAAATGGGTCCAAATTAGTCCCCGAGCTCCTCAAAGGAATAGCAAACGATCTATAGCCTATAGCAACCCTTCCCTAGCAGTCCGTTAACCGTTTTTATTCGCCCGCCGCTCTACCTGCAAAACAAATAACAGTGCAGACGATCGAGATAAAAAGACTGGATTATTGATTGCCCTGATATAGTCCAACGAGAGATGGGAGAATCAAGCGAAACAGTACACCTTAAGTTTGAGTGAGGATGAGCAAAATATTGTCACCCCTAATCATCCCAAAGAAAACCAGACTATATTATCGGTAACCGACTCCTGAGGATGGCGCTAACGCCCACCAATCGGAAAACCCATGTACACGACTAATTACTTATTAAACTCTACTGCGCGTACTCTCTTAGTTAAGCTTTGTAGATAACATGGTGCTCAATCAACTCCATTGTGCTCAATCAACTCCGTTGTGATCAATCAACTCCAGATCCACGCGGTTAGAGTATTCGCCACTCGTTGTCGTCCCAGGATACGGATTTCAATCGAAATTGCCGCTCAGGGCCATGATACACGCCTTGGCGTCGAAGATGCTCGACCTACCACCGCTGTCCACCGGCGATGAAATCGGACGACACCTCATCGTGCTCCATGTACCCCAAGATACCTACCCTTCTGATTGACCTTCGAGACCTTCGTAATCACAGCCTAGATCTCCTCGTACGTCGCGCTCTTCGCCAGCCTCTCCGTCAGATGGACCACCTAGACGATACCCGTCAACTTGCCACTGAGCTCGGAAAGGAGAACCTTGCCGGCTTTTCGCAGCGCCAGTACCCCTCTGGCATGGGGAAAGGCAGGCGCGGAGTAGTGGGGTTGCCTCAGGCAACTTCTGGGCAGGTTTTTTTTTTTTCTTCAGGATTTATGCTTGTCATCCTTGCGCGCACCGTTCCAATTTTAACGGATGTTTCCCTTCCTGGCAGTTTTTTTTTTTTTTTTCATTACACTACACGATGTTCTTCTCTCAAATTCTTTTTTTGAGGCGATACCTGGAGAGGAATTCTTCAGGCGATACCTGAGGACTGACAGTTGCTGCTAGGCCCTGAAGGCCTGGATCCTCCTGGGACCTGGTATATGCCTGAGCAGGCTCCCAGCCAGGGAAAGGTTTGAAAACAGTTGAATTTGACAGAATGTGGCTTCAAAGAAGTACAAGAGTGGCGCACAGTGGATCCATCTGGCAGCTTGCAGCTAGAGTGTAGTCGAGTAGTCTCCCAGTGGCACAATCCTACTCAGATAAGAGTGATTGAGTACCTAGACAAGAGAGCTGAATTCAAATCTGCGAGGTGGGTGGGTAGAGCTCCTCTAAGCCTCCTACCCATTGACCCCACGGCGTGGCGCTGGAGTAAGGGCAAGCCTAATCCAACTTCCCCTCTGGGGCTGGATCTAGTTGCATTTTCAGTCCAAGAGTCGTATAGGTTGACAGAGGAAAAGGCCAGATCACCGGCCATTGTGGCCATTGCCAGGTGGAGCGTGGTTCTCCTGACGGATCTTCAGGACTCTGCAGCACAGTTTGAGAAACTGTGGAATGTGCTGACAGAGATCCGAGATGGGAAACAAGCCAGCATCCTATGGAATGTGCTGACAGAGATCCGGGTTGGGGATTCCGACTCCGTCAGCAGAGGTAAGAGATCCTGGAGTGGAATCGTGACAAAAGCTGGACGGATAGGAAGAGCTTGCGGAAGTCGGAGGCCAGAGCGGAAGCAGCGGGCAGACTTGCGCAGCAACGACAGCGAAGAGCAAAAGGGAGAAGGGAAACCCTTGCGCACCAAACGAGGCGAGAGGTGAAAAAGTAACTAATTGCCACAACTAGCAACGGCGGTCCTGACATCCAGGGGCCAAAAAAGAGACAAAACCAGAGAAGGAACAAAGAAAACAAGTCACGTCTTTCGACATACTCACCCAGTCTTCACTGGATGGGATTTCCACAAACGTTCCATGAACATTCCGAGATGAAGACACCCGTCTTTCATTTTTTCCCGCTGCTCTTGCGCAGCGAGCGCACTTCTTCGCATAGACTTGCCACCTCTCTCCCGTCACAACCGCTCAGAGTCCTTGCACTTGTTGGCTCATCTGGTCAATGACATCCTGCCTGCTTATCCAAAGTTGTAGGTAGGTAGTTGTTGGCTCACCGTCTCATACATGCTGCTTATCCTCCCCTGTTGGTTCTCTCTCAACGGAGGTTGCCTCTTCTAGCCGACGTTGCTGCCCATGGCAATGCAATGTTGTTCCACTCGCATCCCTCAGACTACCGGCCAACGATTTGGTGGTCATTTTACGCTTGTCGAGGGCAGGATAGGATCATGTTGGTGTGTCCATAGATATCAACATGCGTTCGGGTCATGGTGGAGTCCATCGGCATCAAATTCATTCGCAAAAGTTCCCTGTCACAGTACCTCTTCACTAGAGGCAATGGTGACAAACGATCCATCTTCATCCCCTCGACAGCAGCTCCTCCGCTCGAACAAGAGCGCAGCCTCCCTTCTTGCACTCGCGGGCTCGAGCCCGCTCTATAAGGAAGTACCTACATTGTTGACCGTCTATAAGGAAGACCAACGTATCTCTTCTGCTGCCAACTTCCATTTTGACAGCTTCAGAATCTTTGTTTGTGGTCCCTTTGGTCTTCCTTTCTAGACGGTCAGCGACTCTGCAATGTAGATTCCTGGTAAGTGTGGCCTTGCACGAGGGATTCGTACTCGTGACCACTTTCCAAACAATAGCTCAGTTTTTGTTACGGTTTCTATCGTTTGGTTGCTTCCGAGCCAGTCTTTTGTCCCTCTTTCTTTTCCCTTTCTTCAGGAAGGCAAATCGTGTTCTCAACTTTCAAGCAGGTCACGTCAAAGCAACATCCCTTTCTTCAGGAAGGCAAATCTTGTGCTCAACTTGCAAGCAGGTCACATCAAAGGAACATCAAAATAATTAATCCGTCCAAATCAGCAGGGTCTCAAGACTCTCAACAATTACTCCTTCCGTTCCGAAATACTATAATTGTTGTATCTCTCTCAGAAGCGACATCCAATTTCGAGAATATGGATCAAATGGGTCCAAACTAGTCCCCGAGGTCCTAAAAGGAATAGCAAACGATCTATAGCCTATAGCAACCCTTCCCTAGCAGTCTCTTACCCGTTTCCATTCGCCCGCCGCTCTGCCTGCAAAGGCTGCAAAAACAAAATACCAACGCGGGCGATCGAGATAAAAAGGCTCGACTATTGATTGCCCCGATATAGTCCAACGAGAGATGGGAGAATCAAGCGAAATAGTACACCTTAAGTTTGAGTGAGGATGAGCAAAATATAGTCTCCCCCAATCATCCCAAAGAAAACCAGACTACATTATCGGTAACCGACTCCTGCGGATGGCGCTAACGCCCACCAATCAGAAAGCCCACGTACACGACTAATTACATATTAAACTCTAATGCACGTACTCTCTTAGTTAAGCTCTGTAGATAACATTGTGCTCGATCAACTCCATTGTGCTCAATCAACTCCATTGTGATCAATCAACTCCAGATCCACGTGGTTGGAGTATTCCCCACTCGTTGTCGTCCCAGGATACCGATTTCAATCGAAATTGCCGTTCAGGGCCATGATACCCGCCTTGGCGTCGAAGATGCTCGGCCTACCACCGGCGATGAAATCGAACGGCACCTCATCGTCCTCCTTGTACCCCAAGATACTGACCCTTAAGATCGACCTCCGAGACCTTCGTAATCACAGCCTAGATCTCCTCGTACGCCGCGCTCTTCGCCAGCCTCTCCGTCAGATCGACCACCTAAACGATACCCGTCAGCTTGCCACTGGAGAACCTTGCCGGTTTTTCGCAGCGCCAGGACCCCTCTGGCATGGTGAAAGGTAGGTGCGGAGTAGTGGGGTTGCCTCAGGCAACTTCGGGGCAGTTTTTTTTTTTTTCTTCAGGATTTATGCTTGTCATCCTTGCACGTACCGTTCCAATTTTAACGGATGTTTCCCTTCCTTGCAGTTTTTTTTTTTTTTTATTATTACACTACACTATGTTCTTCTCTCAAATTCTTTTTTTCGCCTTTAAGTACCTTCCTACCACTACTCCTAAGACTATATAGAGGGGACCCCTGCAAGCATAGGGCCTCACAAACGAGGTAATTCATATTGCCCCCCGCACCAACAGCGGTAGTCAGAGATGGGGTGGGGCCGCCGGCGGGGGTTCGGCTAACGCGAAGACCGAGCATTTTGCTAGTAGCTGCGCCTCCCGTTCTCATCGTCCCCCTCCCCTCATCGAGTACCAGCAGAGGCTATGGCCAAGACTCTCCCACACACCACACACAACCCACTCGCGCTCACACTCACACCCATGTTGGTCATAAACACTCACACCCGTGTTGGTCATACACGCCGCAAATACCGCAGACGCAGGCGGCCATGGGGCTTGAACCCACAACGTCCTGAATGTCACTTGCCTGCCTAACCAACTGAGGGCCTCGCCACACCACTCTTGAAAACTTTTTTTCAAGAGTTGCTGCATGGCCACACAGCCTCTTGACAGTTGGGGCAGTCAGGAGCTGTCAGAGTGGCTCTTGAAACCCTTTTAAGAGCTGCTCTTGAAAGATTGGAAACCCCAGCCTGCAACTCGTGTATTTCCAAGCGTCCTTGGCCGAACCCTTGAGGGACTACCGGTTTTCAAGAGTTGTCAGACCGTTATCCTAACGCCATGTGGAAAAAACAAAGTTGTATGACTGTCGTTTTTTATCCTGTGTCCAACGGCATCGCGCTTTCGAGAGTGTTGTGTGGCGAGGGGCCGAAAACTCTTGGGAACACAACTCTTGAGAACTTCTGATAGCTTTTGACAAATCTCGCCGTTTCAAGAGTGGTGTGGCGAGGCCCTGAGATAGGCCGCTGGATCTTCCTGGCAGTTTCATGGAGCAGGATTTTTTCGTTTTTTTTTAAATTACCTGTCAAATCGGGCAACTTTTCTTTTATTTCTTCTTTTCTCTTTTTCAAAAACGAATAACGGAAAAGGACAAAAACAGTGAAGGGCATGACCACTAATCCTACCTCAGTGTAACCACTCGGGGGGGCGTGGCGCGGCCGGGAGCGCTGCGCCCCTGCCGGTACGGTTTTGACGGTGCGCTACGGAGGCGTTGGGTGACGTAGCGGGCGGCGGTACGAGGCGCGGGATGGCAAGGCGCGACGATGAGCGGCGAAGGGGAGTAGGAACAAGTGGCGCGAGGGAAGAGGGTGGGGTTGATGGCGATGGCCTGGTCTGTTTGGGCAGTGTTTTCGCAAAGTGGCGGGAACATGTTGGGCGTGGCACGAGAGAAACGGTACGGCGAGTTTGATGAGCACGATGGTGGAAAGGGGGGTGTGGGCTGTGGTGAGGTTTGTGTCTACCCCGTGATAGGGCTCCGTGGGCGCAGTTGGGAGGGAAGAGTACTGCAAGCATGGTGAGGGTGGTGGTGCTTAGGATGATGACATCCCTCCATCTCGCCGGACTAACCTGCGAGGGGCGGCTGGCAGGTTTAGCGGTACGGGCTCGCAACGTGGTTTGCCACGGTCCGTTTATCTTCATCGAGTGACCTTTAAGGATGGTCGAGTGAGCGTCGACTACAAGGTGGCCAGTCTTGGCTCGCAAAGTCGATGAAGGAGGAGGTGAGGTTTGGAGGGGGGAGGGGTAGTTAACGAAGTGTGGGGACTTGGGGTACTCTTCTCTAGCTAGGTTTTTGTCCTTCTAAGATGACTTTTCTGGTTGAGTGATAGGATTTTGTTCTAGTATGTAGTTTTTCTTTCAGTTCTTGACTTGAGTCTGGTCCCTAATTCTGATTCTCGTAATTTGATTTCCATCTGCTAAATCGCGTTCTCCTATATATATCAGCTAAATGATGTTCCCATTTGATCAGTTAAAGCAAACCTTATCTTCGCAATTTTTTCTTAATTCCAAGAACCTGATACAATTGCTATTTTGGTTGATAAGTTCCTGATCCGCTGTCTGAGCGAGGTTTTCCTTTTTTGGATTTTCAAATTTTATCAAATCTCATCTTCAATTCCATCTTTTGAAATTCGCAAGCTGATGGCCTCAACTATGATCAGGATTATTCTTGATCTTAGACATTCGTGAGTCCAATATTTGACATCTTAGTTCGATTTCTTGAATTTTTGATCTTAAATGTTCCTTTCCAATAGGCTTTTGCAGACAGATTTCCTAATTGTGGTTCTAATTTCTATTAGTTAAAAGTAGTTTTCGCAATTCTCCTCTATTTGAATAAATCTACATCTGCAAATCTTATTTCTTAGTCTTGATTGCGGTCGTCGTAAAAATCTTGAATCTGATTGGTTTTCTCGATAATTAGGTTTTGGAGCTTGTCGGGATCTTGGTATGCTAGTTTTGTGTCTCGCTTTGTGAATGGGAGGGGGTCTCCTTTAGGTTTCGGAGCCCCTCCCCGTGAAGGTTGCACAAGGGGGGAGGTGTTACCTTTGGGAGGGGGGAGGTGGTATTATGAGGGTTTGTCTTTTTCTGGGCCAGGTTGATTTAGGGTCGGATCAACACTGGCGGTTGGGGGGAGAAGACAAGGGGGGTGGCTGCTTAGAGCAGGGTGTGAGGATGGGAGGGCTGCCTTGCTTGGAGGGGGCAGGAGGAAGGGGGAACTTCAGCCTGGGAGGCATACTCTAGGGGGAACTGTATGCCTTTTAGAGGGTTGAAGTGGCCGTTTATAGGCTGTTCCGAACTGGGGCCAGGAGGAGAGGGGGTGCCTCCTGGTGGGGGCAGTGTAGGAACATGGGGCTTACTATGTGTTGTGGAATCCCGGGGGTATGTCAGAACCTGAATTTCCTATTTCGAAAATTTCGCAAACTGTTCAAAATTGATTTGGTAAGCAGTTTCTTCTCAAGTAATTCATCCTAGCGCGGTTTTGCA